GTTCTCTCCTGTGCTAAGCGCGCCCCTCCCTCCCCAGGTGCACAAGGCCACAGCGGACGTGGAGGGGGGGCGGGCTCTGTACGAGGGCTACTCGGCGGTGACCGACGACGAGCCCCCCCACTTCCTGCGGCTGCGCCAGACCGTGCTGCTGCGCAAGGAGCCCCGCAAGATGTTCGTCCAGGCCAACACGCGGGTCAAAGGTCAGCGCCCCCCCCCATCCATCTGCCTCAGGCTGACTGAGCGCCCCCCCCCCCCGGGGTGGTTCTGTCGTGACTGACGCGCAGCGTCTCCTCCCGCCCTGCAGGGGAGGCCGTGGAGCTGCTGGAGTACGAGGGCACCGCGGCGGGCTTGATCCGCTCCTTCGCCGACCGGTTCCCCGAGGACGCCGAGCGGATCGAGGACGGGCTGCTGGAGCTGAGCCGGCGCGACGCCCCCTGCTGGTGCTGAGAGCGCGCGCGTGTGGGTGCACACCCTAGGGCGCGATACGGCGAGGGCCCTGCAGCGCGGGGTTGACCGGCGAGGGGGGCGAGACCCACGGCGTGCCTTCGATCGCCGCGGCGGGTGGCCACCCAGATCTGAGCCGTGCGCTGGGTGGAAAGCCCCCCCGCCCCCCCGCCCCCATCGCGTGCCTTGTCTGCCCTCGGCTGACGAGCGAACCCACAGACCCCGGCCGTGCGACTCGGCGATAGGTTGGTTCTGTCTGTCCGCTGGTCCTCGTGAATAAACTGTGCACGTTTTCCACCAGACCCCTCGTGTCCTGTGTCCCGGCTTTTCCCTGGTTCGAATCCCACCTCCCCTCTCCTGTCCCAAGCCCAGCTGGGAAGCAGGTGCGGAACACCCAGCGGGGGAGTTCGGGCCTACCCGTAACATTCGGGACATGCCTGTGTCTGCCGCCGGGGTGTCCACTCCTGGTCCAGGAGGGGGCGCTGTGTCTGCAGTGGGGGTGTCCAGTCCTGGTCCAGGAGGGGTCAGTGTGACTGCAGCAGGGGTGTCCAGTCCTGGTCCAGGAGGGGTCAGT